TAAGTTGTCCCTTCGATCTCTAGTCGATTGTGGGGCGTCCAACAATTTTGTGCGACGCCAATCTCTAGAAGATGGTCACTTTAAATTCAGTGAATGTGACACACCTCCTACGAGGATGACGGTACGTCTTGCGACAGGCGCATCCGTAACCGTCATGAAGCGTATAGTGAAGATTCACTATACGCTAGAAGATACCCAATACGACGATGACTTTATCGTATTGGATTTGGATGACAAATTTGATGTCATCCTTGGAATACCGTGGCTCAGAAGGTACGAACCACGGGTAAACTGGCAACATCGGACAGTAACGATGCCTGCCGCTTGTTCATCAGATGGCCATCTGATGAACGTTTTGGAGCGTCCACAAGCGTGTGGATGTACTACGAGTGAGTGCGATGGCCTCACTTGTGGTACGGTCGTTAGTACGACTGCACAAAACCTTAGTGTACCAAACGGTTACACTTCGGAGCAAAGTTCCGGCGGCTGTGAGGAAACACAGGCTGCGCCGAAGGTCCACCACTCGAATAAGTCGGGTGGACTGGGACAAAGATGTATCCCTAGAGGGGAACATCTAGAAGAGAAACAATCGATCGCTCAGGTTAAGCGAAACGATAATCCTAGATCGACTGGAGAGTCTTTCGTAGAGGATCTCGCTGTGGTTGCGCAACCCCAGCTAGAGGAAGTAAAGGGAATAAGTCCCAAGATTACAAATACGGCGGAAATAAGTTCCCCGAAACCCGCGGGAATAAGTCCCCGGGAAGACGAAGGAATAAGTCCTTCGAAGCCTGAGGGAATAAGTCCCCAGGAAATGACAGAGACATTGAATGTCATAGTCAATAACGGATCATGTGTAGGCGCTTATACACTTGATCTGATTGCGCCTCCGAAGTTAACTTCGGAGATCACTCAGTTGCCAACGCTCGAACATAAAAGATTCTTGCGTGATCTGCGTAGTGGCAAAGTCAAGCAGATCTGCATACTCGTCGCTGAAGACGAGTATGTAACAGACATAAGGTCAGCAACAGTGTTTACTGAGAACGAGAGAGTTCTCAGTAGTTCATCTATGGACGAGAGTGCCCTAGATGAAAAGACACGAATTGAGCGATATGAGTCCCAATCATGGGAATCGCTCAAGGAAAATCCTCTCTATGAAGATTTGGTTGAATTCAAGGATGTATTCCCTGAAACTGTTCCGTGCGAATTACCGAAGGATAAAGGTATTCGACACGAAGTCGAGCTTAAACCAGGCTCGAAGTACTGTGTCATGAAGCAGTGGCCAGCGCCTCGTGAACAAGTACTTGCGATCGACAAGTTCTTTGCCGATCGTTTAGCAGCGGGCCATGTGAGGGAATCAACTTCCCCACATAGCTCTCCGACCTTCTGTGTGCGAAAAGCAACAGGAGGGTGGCGGATAGTGCACGCGTTTAACAAGTTGAATGCTGCAATGGTACCGGCTCAGACGCCGATACCGAGGAAGGACGTAATCATTGATGGTATGTCAAAGAGTACCATCTTTTCGTCCATGGATTTGATGGATGGCTTCTATCAAATCCTTATGCGGGAACGGGATATACCCTATACCGCAGTGAGCACGTCTAGCGGCATGCTCTGGGAATGGCTAGTAATGCCACAAGGGCTTAGTAATGCCCCTGCCACGTTCAACAGATGTGTATCACATCTGTTGAGGCCAGTACGAGAATTCGCGCCGAGTTATTTCGATGACGTATTCATCCATAGTCGAGCTATGGATGGAAAGTCGGACGTTGAGGTTCACAGGTACCACGTCCGACAAGTTCTTACAATCATGCGAAAGCATCAATTGTATGCTAACCTCAAGAAGTGTATATTTGCAGCAAGCGAAATACCACTTCTTGGGTGCATCGTTGGTAAGAACGGTGTACGTCCTGATCCCGAAAAGATCAAGGCGATCACCGACTGGCCTGTGCCGGTCGATGTCAAAGGCCTTCGAAAATTCCTTGGGCTAGCGGCGTATTTGCATAAGTATTCACGCAATTACGCCGAGATGACTGTACACCTCTCTCGTTTGTTGAAAAAGAACGAGAGGTGGTTATGGAACGCTGAATGTCAACGCTCCTTTGATGGTATCAAGCAGAGCTTGATACAATCCCCAGTCCTAGCAATAGCCGATCAGGACAGGCCATTTCATGTGGTCTGTGATGCCAGCGATTTCGCAATCGGCTGTGCATTAATGCAGTACGATCTTGAAGGCGTTGAACGCGTCGTCTGCTATCAGTCGCGTCAGCTGCAACCAGCTGAGCGGAACTATCCAGTGCATGACAAGGAACTCCTTGCCATGAAGTATGCACTCGCGAAGTTCAGAGTCTATCTATTAGGAGATAGACCCTTCGTTGTTTACACTGACCATGCGTCCTTACGCACGGCAGTGAACAGCCCGCACCTTTCACAACGAATGGCGCGGTGGTTGTCATTCTTTGCAGAATACAACTTTACGGTCGAGTACAAACCAGGACGACTTAATGTCGTCGCTGATGCACTCTCACGTCGTCCCGACTTTGAAACAGTCGCGAAACCCAACAGTGAGACAGCCACTGTTGCGGTTATGACGTCCTCAGTTCCATCTACAACGTTGTATGATGATGTGAGGCGGGCATACGCCCAAGATGGTGAGATAGTGAAGTTGTTGACACATCTCTCCCAACCATCTCGAGAATCGTTGAAACGATTGTCGTCTGCGTATCGATCTGCATCAGATCGATACACTACTCGTAACGGTTTACTGTACTATACAGCCGTTTCTGGTGACACACCACGTGTTGTCATTCCAGATGATACTGATCTGCGTTTGCGGATCATGTTCGAGTATCACGATGCTCCTATAGGAGGACATCGTGGCCGAGAGAAAACATATCTCACGGTAAGTCGAGACTTTTACTGGCCCCGCCAGTATCAGTTTGTGCGAAAGTATGTTCGCGCATGCGAAGTCTGTCAACGAGTGAAGTCAAGTCCTTCACTGCGTGCACCTTTACAGCCTCTACCGGTTCCGGCTGAGTGCTGGGAATCCATCTCAATGGATTTCGTCTTCGGGTTACCCAAAGACGCACGCGGGAATACGGGTATTCTCGTATTTGTTGACAGATTCAGCAAAATGGTACACCTTGTGGCTGTACCAGAGACAATCACGGCAAGTGGCTGTGCTTGTGTCTTTATTGACACCATCTTCCGACTTCATGGGTTGCCCCGTGAACTCGTATCAGACAGAGATCCACGATTCACTGCTGATTTCTGGCGTTCCGTGTTCAAATCACTCGGAACGCGCTTGAAGATGTCAACATCTGATCATCCAGAGTCAGATGGTCAGACGGAACGTGCCAATCGTGTCCTTGAAGAGATACTTCGAGGATACGTACACTCCTTTAAGAGTTGGAGTGAGTTTATGCCGATGGTAGAGTTTGCCATCAACAACTCGGTGCATGCGTCCACGACACATACACCGTTTTACGTGAATGGCTTGCGCCATCCGCGTGTACCCACCTTACTAGAGTGTAACTCTGGTTTAAGGGGGGGAGGGACTCGCGCGAGCAAAAGCCGAATTGGTTCACGCTCATCACGCTCTGACGAAGAAGTCATTGCGTTTGATGCCGATATCGATAACATCGATATCGAAGAAGATGATGCCAGTGAGAGTGCGGAAGCCCTCACTGAAGAAGATGATCCCGGTGAGAGTGCGGAAGCCCTCACTGAAGAAAAGGTTGTTGTCGCTGCAGTGCGCTCACAGCACACTGAAGCTAACGAGTCATCAGATGAGTTCATACTGGCTCGTGAAACGGTAGTCCGTTTTGTGCAAGACTCCATCGCCGAAGCGGTGGATAAGCAAAAGCAAAACGCTGACAAGAATGGAAGGGCAAACACTCTTTTATTTAATAAAGGTGACTTAGTCCTACTGTCTACGGTTAACCTACCAAAGCATGTAGTGACTAACTTGGGTAGCAGTAAACTACTACCCAAGTACATCGGCCCATTTCGGGTATTGCACCGCCTAGGCAATGCATACACGATCGAGTTGCCACGTAAGATGCGAACGCATCCCACGTTTTACGTTGGTCGGATTAAGCCGTACCATCAGTACGCTGCTTCTTCCGATAAAGAACGCCCTTGCGCTCAAGCATCTCGCAGAGAGCCTTGTGCTCCCGATGGTGGGCATCAACAAGGGTCTGAAGAGCAGTTATCTCAGCCCGAGACCGATCAGCAATCCCACGAGCTACCCTTAGCTCGTCACGAAGAGATGTCAGAGATCTCTCGTTCTCAAGCTGAGCAAAGGCAAGCTCAGCTCGATGCTTCGAGGCAGTTTCCGCCATTTGGAGACACCTATTCCGCTCATGTTCGAGATCGTCGCGTAACCCTTGCGTTACGCGATCAAAGAAGCTCTCGGGAACACACCGATCCACATGATCGTGTGGAGAGCGTCTTTCCTCCTCCTCCACCTCCATTAGAGGACTCTCGCGGTGGCCAGCGCTATCTAGTTGATCAGCTGTTGAACCACCGCGACGTGAACGGACGTCGGACGAGTTATCTCGTCCGGTGGCGCGGCTATCCCCCGTCCTGGGATTCTTGGGAGCCCCGCTCCCAACTGATGATCGACGTACTGGGTCTGGTTGAGCAGTACGACGCGGCACATCCTGTGCCGCAGAAAAACCGCTGGAGAAAGTCTTCCCGGCACGGTCGTAAAGGGATTTTAGGTTGTCAATCCCTTCGTACATCTAACTAGAGATACGTACGCGCCATTACGGGCTATTAGGGAGTTAAGCCTCCTTAGGTGCTCGTGCAGAGTTGCTCACACAACATGGGCACGAGTCTCCCCAAAAGAGAGGCAGGGTAATCCACTCACCCCTAGACAGACGATGCAGCTTGTAGCGTGCACCTGTCGGGGTTCTTTTCTCAAACTTATCACGAGCTTTGATAAGTTTGTCGTTCCAAACGTCGCGACCTACATCCTCAAGGTTATGGATGTAGACGTCCTACGCCTGAAGTAGTGAGGGACCATCACGTTTGTGATTCCCACTGTACCATCGATGTCTAAAGAAAGCCTCGATGAAGAATTCATGTTCAGCGCGATAGTTTTTCGCGCTGGGGTCAAGGTGATGGATCCTTGACGAATCGAACAATCGTGTTCGATAACGATCACTCGTCGTCGCCGACAAGTGATCCATGACGGATTTTGGAGGCATCCATGCCTTCTTTTCTGGAGCGAGACGCAAGACATTGCGGTCCCGCTCTTCCTGCGACGTGCCGACAGAAGTACTGGCACCTCGTTGCGAAGTGGTGTCAATAGGAGAACCGACACCACTGTTAGCGCCCGAGTCTCGCGACCTCGAGCGCCTTCGCTTCGGCGATGGTTCATCTGATTCATCAGATGAACCAAAGATGCTGCGACGCAAAGCATCGTCCATGCCACGCTTGGCAGGCGGCTTAGATTCAATCGCCGTCGATACGGATCCGTCATCCGTATCAGGAGAGTATGAGACACCGAGCTCGTACTCTGTGAAGACACGAGTGTCTTCATGACCAGCGCCTGCATCACCAAGTGACACAGGCTGGGTCGCTTCAGCAACCGATGAGACATCAGTTGCTGTTGTTTCTGCTTCGGCGTCCGCACAGAGACGTGCAGACGCGCTCTCGGCGGCCTTGCTCGCGCATCGCATGGGCTTGTTTACCATGCGATGAAATGTTGGAAAGTGGACGCGGACCAACAAGTGCAAACCCTGTCCCAAATGATTTGGGACGAGTATCCATTTAGTCAATCAGTCACTAAAGTGACTGATGGTTAAGGGGGGTGATGTAACGGGGTGAATCGTTACATAACAATTTATAAGAAATTGTTAATAGAATATAACTATAAGAGTTATATTCTCAGAATATTGTCATAAGGACAAATATTCTGTAGCACTTACAAGTAGTTCCTAATTGGTTGATATAGGCCATTATATCAACCAACGAAGACGCGCCACGACAGACGCACGCAATGAGTGGTGAGCAGATAACTGATTTACACATTTGTATTTAGACATAGTTAGATGAAGATAAATAGTGATTTATTGCAGACATTAACTATTATAAATACAGTTCTACTTTTTACTCTAACCGAGTACTCGCTTCTTCTTACCGTCTTCCTCTGCACGTACGAGTGTACGTGAAGTTACGAGGCACCGCCTTATTCTGTCATCAGAATAAGTAGCTTGTACTGTCACCAGTACAAGCTTCAGGGTGCCCCGTTACACAATGTCCTCTTTTTACACTGGAACCGACCACAAAAACAACGATTATTTTGCAGAGTTCCGAAACTGCATATGGCTAACAACTAATTGGATAAACAAGGCGCGAAAGACAGGCGCAAGATCGACGGTGGTCGCGTAATGGAGGTCAAGAAGAGTCGATATGTTGACATAGGTGACTGCTACACTTTTTTGGGGCGATACAGTTGCTGTACGTGAGAAAATCATGGTTGGCAACGAACTTGATTACCTTGTCTGATTTGTTGACTGATCAAAGAAAGTCTGCGGAACGGCAACACTTTTCCTGTAACAACATAAGTGCCAATCGGACGAACGGGTACTTGCGTCGGCTAGTTCGTGTAATGTCTGGAAACAACACCTTGACGTCCTTGCTCTACTGACTTGGATACGGGCAGCTTGACTTTCGGCTTGATACATAGCCTCCATTCCATGTAGTTAATTTTTCTTTTCGACAGCTCGCATACGAGATTCATCGATTCAGGCTACATTTACAACACACTAATGTCTAACAGAATGCACATTTATCATAATTGCGTGTCTAAATCGACAACAATGCGGTCTTCACTGTAACGGCTACAGGAACTAGAAACATGCGAATAGAGCTTTACAAATTTGATTCAAATGCAGTACAATATATGAATAGGTCCTTAGTTCGCATGCTACCTCTAAGCCTACCGTCTCTTTCACGACAAATCAACGATTGTTTTCGTCGCTCAAAACTACGACAACAGTTACAAATTCAAAGACTCCCGATCCTCTGTCGCTTATTATCGCCCAAATGCATGTTCCAAGCTCGCGAAACCAGATCGAGCTTATGAAGCTCATGCTTTAGCTCGTCCAATTCCCCCGGCTCCACAAATTGGCTCGTTGTTTCCAGAAAATCACTAGCTTCTTCGGGAGTTAGGTTGCGAAACATATGCGCCACCGTTTCATCAGCGCTCAACGCGTAGTCCCTCCCCTCTTCTCTGTGCAGCTCGGCGTACTTATAGAACATCAACGCAGCTTCTGGCGAGTCACGCACTCCTCCTGCTTCCTTACTGAAGCCAAGGTCATCGTAAAGGTCCCTTGGTTTCAAATCCAAATCCAGCCACGCAGTTAGGATCACTTCCGGTGTATTTTGCTCCAAGTAATATGATGCCATTGCCCTGTGCAAATCGCAGGCCCAGTCACGCCAAAATGAGATCTTTTGAATTGATGTCAGAGCCTCCACCACCTCCTCCGGTCTTTTGTTTTCCATCAATGTTGCTACTTCATGCGCATCAGGGTTGGGATAGGTAAGCTTGTGCCCGTCAGATATACGATAGTCTGCCCATTTGCGGCGTACCGCTTTATCCACGGGTTCCTTCCCCATCAGGCCATGGCGAACAAATTGAAGCTTTTCAATTAGCCTCCGTATTGGTACAAGCTCAAGCTCTAATTTGGCGTATTCCTCCGGCTCTGCAAATTTCTCAGCTTTTTTCAAGAACAATTTAACTTCATCGAGTCTCAGGGTGCGGAACATATGTTCTGTTGTCTTTTCAGCGCTCCATGCGTAGTTCACCTTTGTTTCTCTCAATAACTCAGTGTACTTGTAGAACATCAACGCAGCTGAGTACGGTTTGAAGAACGCACCGATATCAAAGCTATATCATACAGGTCCTTGGGTTCCAACGCCAACGTAAACCACGCATTCAGCAATGCTTTCGGCGTCTTTTTTTCCAAGAAATGTGATGCTACTTCCCCGTGCAAATCGGAGGCCCATCTGCGCCAATACGTATTCTTTTGAATTGACGTTAGTGCCTCCACCACCTCCTCTGGTGTTTTGTTCTCCATCAACCTTTCCACATCTAACTTACTGGGGTCGCGAAAGTAATTACTGTGCTTGGTACATTTTGCGTACGCCCAATCAGTTTTTAATTCGGTGTAACTCTTGTCATCCACGGGTTCCTTACCCTTGAGGCCTTGGCGAATAAATCGGAACTTTTCAATTTGCCTTAAGATTGGTTGAAGTTCAAACTTTATCTTGTCCATTTCCCCTGCCCCCGCTAATTCGCTCGCCTTATGTAAAAAAGCGATAGCGTTATCGGGAAGTAGACTGCTGAACATAAGCTCCGCCGTTTGTTCAGCACTCAATGCGTAAGCTTTCCCCTTTTCTCTCAGTAATTCGGTGTACTTGTAAAACATCAACGCAGCCCCTGGCGAGTTATGCACTCCTTCTATTAACTTACTAAAGGCAAGGCTATGGTAAAGTTTCTTAGGTTTCAATTCCAACGTCAGCCACGCATTGAGCATCACTTCTGGTGTATCTTTCTCCAAGTAATATATTGCTATCGCCTCGTGCAGATCGTCTTCTTCTTTTAAAATCAGTGCCCCCACTACTTCCTCGGGCGTTTTGTGCTTCAGCAATATCACTGCTTGCGACGAATACTGGATGGGACGGTGAGCATATCGATTGGAGTCTACCCACATGCGGCAGGCATGGGCATTCACGGGTCCCTCATTGTTTAGGCCGAGGCTTTCAAGCTTCATCTCAGAATTAAAATTCGACCGGGCCATAGTCGCTCGATTCTGGTCAATCCGCTGCAAGATTGGTTGAAGCTTATGCACCAAGTTTACGAATTCCTCCGATTCCGTTAATGTTGCAGCTTTTTCCAAGAAACCACTAACTTCTTCAGGAGCACGGTGGCGAAATATACGTTCAGCCATTTCATTAGCTCTTGATTGGTAACCGCTGTTCTGTTTCAGCAACAGCTCAGTGTACTTATAGATCACCCACGCAGCGTCAGTACTTTCGCGCTCTGAAAAGTGCTGATTTGAGTCAAGGCTATTCTGAACATCCTCAGGTTTCAATTTCAATGTGTCCCATGCATTAAGCATCACTTCCGGCGTCCCTTTATCCAGGTAATATGACGCTATCGCCCTGTGCAGATCCCTGGACCAAATGCGCCATAAGTAATCCTCTCTTCGAAGTGTTGTCAGCGCCTTCACAACCTCCTCTGCCGTCTTGTGCTTCATCAATATTGCTACTTGCAGCGCATCAGGGTTGCGATAGGGATGCGTGTACCCATGAAATTCATTAAAAAGTATCCATTGGTCCAGTTTCGAGACATCTACGGGTCCCTCCTCGGTCAGGCCGAGGCGTACGAATTCCTCCTCAGACATTTTTTTCACATCAGGAAGATTCTCTCGAAATTTCTCAATCCACTTCGACGTTAGTTGAAGTTCATGCACTACTTTGGCGAATTCCTCGGGCACCTTTAGTTCTTTAGCCTTTTTTAAGAAGGCAGTCGCTTCTTCGGGAGTTAGGTTGCGAAACATATGCGCCGCCGTTTCATCAGCACTCAACGCGTAGTCCCTCCCCTCTTCTCTGTGCAACTCGGCGTACTTATAGAACATCAACGCAGCTTCTGGCGAGTCACGCACTCCTCCTGCTTCCTTACTGAAGCCAAGGTCATCGTAAAGGTCCCTTGGTTTCAAATCCAAATCCAGCCACGCAGTTAGGATCACTTCCGGTGTATTTTGCTCCAAGTAATATGACGCTATTGCCCTGTGCAGATCCCTGGACCAGTAGCGCCATAAGTAATGCTCTCTTCGAAGTGTCGTCAGCGTCTCCACCACCTCTTTTGGCGTTTTGTGCTTCACCAGTATCGCTATTTCCGACGCATCGGGGTGCGTGTACCCATGGAACGCATTAAATTCCACCCATTTGCTAAAGTCCGAGGCATCCATAGGTTTCTTCTTGGCCAAGTCGAGGGCTTTGAACTTTTCCATAGATAACTCCTCCGGGTGCACAACTCCGTCACGAGCCCTCAATGTAACGGGGTGAATCGTTACATAACAATTTATAAGAAATTGTTAATAGAATATAACTATAAGAGTTATATTCTCAGAATATTGTCATAAGGACAATATTCTGTAGCACTTACAAGTAGTTCCTAATTGGTTGATATAGGCCATTATATCAACCAACGAAGACGCGCCACGACAGACGCACGCAATGAGTGGTGAGCAGATAACTGATTTACACATTTGTATTTAGACATAGTTAGATGAAGATAAATAGTGATTTATTGCAGACATTAACTATTATAAATACAGTTCTACTTTTTACTCTAACCGAGTACTCGCTTCTTCTTACCGTCTTCCTCTGCACGTACGAGTGTACGTGAAGTTACGAGGCACCGCCTTATTCTGTCATCAGAATAAGTAGCTTGTACTGTCACCAGTACAAGCTTCAGGGTGCCCCGTTACACCTGGTAGCACTTCGTAGTCCGTCCAAGGACCGCGTTCACATCCAACATGAATATGTTGGATGATGAAGATGACCAAAGCTTTCACGCTACGCGTGACGGCTACTCCCATTTGAGCGATGTCGAATGGGATGCGGTTGAACGAATGGGTTCGACCATGGGCATCCATGCTGTTAGCGTCATGCTAGAGGCTCTCAATAGAGATGCCCAACATGCTACTATCGCCAAGTTCATTCAAAATGAACTTGACGCAGAACGCGAGAAAGTAGCCTTGCTTCACCAACAAGGTTCTCAACAAGCAGAGTTGTTGAGAGAACAAGGTGCTCAACAGTTTGAACTGTTGAGACAGCAGCAGGCTGCTGCTGGCGGGTCGATGCACTCGCGTCGGCCCGAGACTTTGAAGATTGACATCTCAAAGTATAGGGGGGTCGAAGAAGACTCCCTCTTGAGATGGTTCGTCGAATTGGATGACGCCATAAGGGCGCGTCGCATCGACGACGGGGATATGCAAGTTGCATTTGCCCAGTCAAATCTGGCAGGACGTGCCAAGACTTGGGCACTGGGGCTCAAGCTGCACGACCCATACGCGTTTGGGTCGTTGGAAGTCTTCAAGTCGCGGCTCAGACAAACGTTTGAACCGCCTAGAGCTGAGTTCAGAGCTCGAACCGAACTCTTGAAGCTCAAGCAGGGTAAGCGTGATGTGCACGCTTACGCTCAACATATACGACATCTCACGAGTTGTATAAGTTCCAATCCGGTGGATGAACACACGTTGGTTTCGGTGTTCATGCAGGGTCTTGCGGATGGTCCCGTCAAGACTCACCTGTTCCGGCTTGAACTAGATTCACTAGAACAAGCCATTTCAATTGCGGAGCAGGAAGACTTCAGTCTGAGACAGGCTCGCGCCAGCTCGACATCATATCGTCAACCGAGACGATATGACAACGGAGGTCCAGAGCCGATGGAACTCTGTTATGTAGAGAGCGAGAAGGCTCGCTCTACAGGCTACAAGAAGTTGCAGAGATGCAACAGATGTCAAAAGACAGGACACTACGCTTACGAGTGTAGTGCCCCTCGTCCAGTGTCTCGCGACACTGGGCGTAGTGACCGTCCACCCATGAGAAAGGGGCAGGGACGAGGGTCCGCAGTTGGTGCAAAGACGCAACAACGGGATGGACCGTCAAAAAACGGACAGGGATCAGTAGGTGCGGAGCACCCTACTGATCCAGCAACGTCAAGAGAATTTGTAGGCCTCTTGATGAAGGTTGCTCCCAACACACAGACATTGTGCGTTGCTGCTCTAGGTAATGAGATCTCACTCATTACCTTGAAACTCGAAGTGACGAATAAGTTGTCCCTTCGAGCTCTAGTCGATTGTGGGGCGTCCAACAATTTTGTGCGACGCCAATCGCTAGAAGATGGTCACTTTAAATTCAGTGAATGTGACACACCTCCTACGAGGATGACGGTACGTCTTGCGACAGGCGCATCCGTAACCGTCATGAAGCGTATAGTGAAGATTCACTATACGCTAGAAGATACCCAATACGACGATGACTTTATCGTATTGGATTTGGATGACAAATTTGATGTCATCCTTGGAATACCGTGGCTCAGAAGGTACGAACCACGGGTAAACTGGCAACATCGGACAGTAACGATGCCTGCCGCTTGTTCATCAGATGGCCATCTGATGAACGTTTTGGAGCGTCCACAAGCGTGTGGATGTACTACGAGTGAGTGCGATGGCCTCACTTGTGGTACGGTCGTTAGTACGACTGCACAAAACCTTAGTGTACCAAACGGTTACACTTCGGAGCAAAGTTCCGGCGGCTGTGAGGAAACACAGGCTGCGCCGAAGGTCCACCACTCGAATAAGTCGGGTGGACTGGGACAAAGATGTATCCCTAGAGGGGAACATCTAGAAGAGAAACAATCGATCGCTCAGGTTAAGCGAAACGATAATCCTAGATCGACTGGAGAGTCTTTCGTAGAGGATCTCGCTGTGGTTGCGCAACCCCAGCTAGAGGAAGTAAAGGGAATAAGTCCCAAGATTACAAATACGGCGGAAATAAGTTCCCCGAAACCCGCGGGAATAAGTCCCCGGGAAGACGAAGGAATAAGTCCTTCGAAGCCTGAGGGAATAAGTCCCCAGGAAATGACAGAGACATTGAATGTCATAGTCAATAACGGATCATGTGTAGGCGCTTATACACTTGATCTGATTGCGCCTCCGAAGTTAACTTCGGAGATCACTCAGTTGCCAACGCTCGAACATAAAAGATTCTTGCGTGATCTGCGTAGTGGCAAAGTCAAGCAGATCTGCATACTCGTCGCTGAAGACGAGTATGTAACCGACATAAGGTCAGCAACAGTGTTTACTGAGAACGAGAGAGTTCTCAGTAGTTCATCTATGGACGAGAGTGTCCTAGATGAAAAGACACGAATTGAGCGATATGAGTCCCAATCATGGGAATCGCTCAAGGAAAATCCTCTCTATGAAGATTTGGTTGAATTCAAGGATGTATTCCCTGAAACTGTTCCGTGCGAATTACCGAAGGATAAAGGTATTCGACACGAAGTCGAGCTTAAACCAGGCTCGAAGTACTGTGTCATGAAGCAGTGGCCACTGCCTCGTGAACAAGTACTTGCGATCGACAAGTTCTTTGCCGATCGTTTAGCAGCGGGCCATGTGAGGGAATCAACTTCCCCACATAGCTCTCCGACCTTCTGTGTGCGAAAAGCAACAGGAGGGTGGCGGATAGTGCACGCGTTTAACAAATTGAACGCTGCAACGGTACCGGCTCAGACGCCGATACCGAGGAAGGACGTAATCATTGATGGTATGTCAAAGAGTACCATCTTTTCGTCCATGGATTTGATGGATGGCTTCTATCAAATCCTAATGCGGGAACGGGATATACCCTATACCGCAGTTAGCACGCCTAGCGGCATGCTCTGGGAATGGCTAGTAATGCCACAAGGGCTCAGTAATGCCCCTGCCACGTTCAACAGGTGTGTATCACATCTGTTGAGGCCAGTACGAGAATTCGCGCCGAGTTATTTCGATGACGTATTCATCCATAGTCGAGCTATGGATGGAAAGTCGGACGTTGAGGTTCACAAGTACCACGTCCGACAAGTTCTTACAATCATGCGAAAGCATCAATTGTATGCAAACCTCAAGAAGTGTATATTTGCAGCAAGCGAAATACCACTTCTTGGGTGCATCGTTGGTAAGAACGGTGTACGTCCTGATCCCGAAAAGATCAAGGCGATCACCGACTGGCCCGTGCCGGTCGATGTCAAAGGTCTTCGAAAATTCCTTGGACTAGCGGCGTATTTGCATAAGTATTCACGCAATTACGCCGAGATGACTGTACACCTCTCTCGTTTGTTGAAAAAGAACGAGAGGTGGTTATGGAACGCTGAATGTCAACGCTCCTTTGAGGGTATCAAGCAGAGCTTGATACAATCCCCAGTCCTAGCAATAGCCGATCAGGACAGGCCATTTCATGTGGTCTGTGATGCCAGCGATTTCGCAATCGGCTGTGCATTAATGCAGTACGACCTTGAAGGCGTTGAACGCGTCGTCTGCTATCAGTCGCGTCAGCTGCAACCAGCTGAGCGGAACTATCCAGTGCATGACAAGGAACTCCTTGCCATGAAGTATGCACTCGCGAAGTTCAGAGTCTATCTATTAGGAGATAGACCCTTCGTTGTTTACACTGACCATGCGTCCTTACGCACGGCAGTGAACAGCCCGCACCTTTCACAACGAATGGCGCGGTGGTTGTCATTCTTTGCAGAATACAACTTTACGGTCGAGTACAAACCAGGACGACTTAATGTCGTCGCTGATGCACTCTCACGTCGTCCCGACTTTGAAACAGTCGCGAAACCCAACAGTGAGACAGCCACTGTTGCGGTTATGACGTCCTCAGTTCCATCTACAACGTTGTATGATGATGTGAGGCGGGCATACGCCCAAGATGGTGAGATAGTGAAGTTGTTGTCACATCTCTCCCAACCATCTCGAGAATCGTTGAAACGATTGTCGTCTGCGTATCGATCTGCATCAGATCGATACACTACTCGTAACGGTTTACTGTACTATACAGCCGTTTCTGGTGACACACCACGTGTTGTCATTCCAGATGATACTGATCTGCGTTTGCGGATCATGTTCGAGTATCACGATGCTCCTATAGGAGGACATCGTGGCCGAGAGAAAACATATCTCACGGTAAGTCGAGACTTTTACTGGCCCCGCCAGTATCAGTTTGTGCGAAAGTATGTTCGCGCATGCGAAGTCTGCCAACGAGTGAAGTCAAGTCCTTCACTGCGTGCACCTTTACAGCCTCTACCGGTTCCGGCTGAGTGCTGGGAATCCATCTCAATGGATTTCGTCTTCGGGTTACCCAAAGACGCACGCGGGAATACGGGTATTCTCGTATTTGTTGACAGATTCAGCAAAATGGTACACCTTGTGGCTGTACCAGAGACAATCACGGCAAGTGGCTGTGCTTGTGTCTTTATTGACACCATCTTCCGACTTCATGGGTTGCCCCGTGAACTCGTATCAGACAGAGATCCACGATTCACTGCTGATTTCTGGCGTTCCGTGTTCAAATCACTCGGAACGCGCTTGAAGATGTCAACATCTGATCATCCAGAGTCAGATGGTCAGACGGAACGTGCCAATCGTGTCCTTGAAGAGATACTTCGAGGATACGTACACTCCTTTAAGAGTTGGAGTGAGTTTTTGCCGATGGTAGAGTTTGCCATCAACAACTCGGTGCATGCGTCCACGACACATACACCGTTTTACGTGAATGGCTTGCGCCATCCGCGTGTACCCACCTTACTAGAGTGTAACTCTGGTTTAAGGGGGGGAGGGACTCGCGCGAGCAAAAACCGATTTGGTTCACGCTCATCACGCTCTGACGAAGAAGTCATTGCGTTTGATGCCGATATCGATAACATCGATATCGAAGAAGATGATGCCAGTGAGAGTGCGGAAGCCCTCACTGAAGACAATGATCCCAGTGAGAGTGCGGAAGCCCTCACTGAAGAAAAGGTTGTTGTCGCTGCAGTGCGCTCACAGCACACTGAAGCTAACGAGTCATCAGATGAGTTCATACTGGCTCGTGAAACGGTAGTCCGTTTTGTGCAAGACTCCATCGCCGAAGCGGTGGATAAGCAAAAGCAAAACGCTGACAAGAATGGAAGGGCAAACACTCTTTTATTTAATAAAGGTGACTTAGTCCTACTGTCTACGGTTAATCTACCAAAACATGTAGTGACTAACTTGGGTAGCAGTAAACTACTACCCAAGTACATTGGCCCATTTCGTGTATTGCACCGCCTAGGCAATGCATACACGATCGAGTTACCACGTAAGATGCGAACGCATCCCACGTTTTACGTTGGTCGGCTTAAGCCGTACCATCAGTACGCTGCTTCTTCCGATGAAGAACGCCCTTGCGCTCAAGCATCTCGCAGAGAGCCTTGTGCTCCCGATGGTGGGCATCAACAAGGGTCTGAAGAGCAGTTATCTCAGCCCGAGACCGATCAACAATCCCACGAGCTACCCTTAGCTCGTCACGAAGAGATGTCAGAGATCTCTCGTTCTCAAGCTGAGCAAAGGCAAACTCAGCTCGATGCTTCGAGGCAGTGTCCACCATCTGGAGACGCCTATTCCGCTCATGCTCGAGATCGTCGCGTAACCCTTGCGTTACGCGATCAAAGAAGCTCTCGGGAACACACCGATCCACATGATCGTGTGGAGAGCGTCTTTCCTCCTCCTCCACCTCCATTAGAGGACTCTCGCGGTGGCCAGCGCTATCTAGTAGAGCAGCTGTTGAACCACCGCGACGTGAACGGACGTCGGACGAGTTACCTCGTCCGGTGGCGCGGCTATCCCCCGTCCTGGGATTCTTGGGAGCCCCGCTCCCAATTGATGGTTGACGTACTGGGTCTGGTCGAGCAGTACGACGCGACACATCCTGTGCCGCAGAAGGACCGCCGGAGAAAGTCTTCCCGGCACGGTCGTAAAGGGATTTCAGGTTGTCAATCCCTTCGTACATCTCAGTAGAGACACGTACGCGCCACCACGGGCTGGTAAGGAGGTAAGCCTCCTTAGGTGCTCGTGCAGAGTTGTTCACACAACATGGGCACGAGTCTCCCCAAGAGAGGCAGGGTAATCCTTTCTCCCTTGACAGACGATGCAGCTTATAGCGTGCACCTGTCGGGGTTCGCTTTTCAAACTTATCACGAGCTTTGATAAGTTTGTCGTTCCAAGCGTCACGACCTACATCCTCGAGATTATGGATGTAGGCGTTCCACGCCTGAAGTAGTGAGGGACCATCACGTTTGTGATTCCCACTGTACCATCGATGTCTGAAGAAAGCATCGATGAAGAACTTCATGTTCAGCGCGATAGTCCTTCGCGCTGGGGTCAAGGTGATGAATCCTCGACGAATCGAACAATCGTGTTCGATAACGATCACTCGTCGTCGCCGACAAGTGATCCATGACAGATTTAGGAGGCATCCATGCCTTCTTTTCTGGAGCGAGACGCAACACATTGCGGTCCCGCTCTTCCTGCGACGTGCCGACAGAAGTACTGGCACCTCGCTGTGAAGTGGTGTCCATTGGAGAAACGACACCACTATTAGCGCCCGAGTCTCGCGACCTCGAGCGCCTTCGCTTCGGCGATGGTTCATCTGACTCATCAGATGAACCAAAGATGCTGCGACGCAAAGCATCGTCCATGCCACGCTTGGCAGGCGGCTTGGATTCAATTGCCGTCGATACGGATCCGTCATCCGTATCAGGAGAGTACGAGACACCGAGCTCGTACTCTGTGAAGACACGAGTGTCTTCATGACCAGCGCCTGCATCACCAGGTGATACAGGCTGAGTCGATTCAGCAACCGATGGGACATCAGTTGCTGTAGTTTCTGCTTCGGCGTCCGCACAGAGACGTGCAGACGCGCTCTCGGCGGCCTTGCTCGCGCATCGCATGGGCTTGTTTACCATGCGATGAGATGTTGGAAAGTGGACGCGGACCAACAAGTGCAAACCCCGTCCCAAATGATTTGGGACGAATATCCATTTAGTCAATCAGTCACTAAAGTGACTGATGGTTAAGGGGGGGGTGATGTAACGGGGTGAATCGTTACATAACAATTTATAAGAAATTGTTAATAGAATATAACTATAAGAGTTACATTCTCAGAATATTGTCATAAGGACAATATTCTGTAGCACTTCCAAGTAGTTCCTAATTGGTTGATATAGGCCATTATATCAACCAACGAAGACGCGCCACGACAGACGCACGCAATGAGTGGTGAGCAGATAACTGATTTACACATTTGTATTTAGACATAGTTAGATGAAGATAAATAGTGATTTATTGCAGACATTAACTATTATAAATACAGTTCTACTTTTTACTCTAACCGAGTACTCGCTTCTTCTTACCGTCTTCCTCTGCACGTACGAGTGTACGTGAAGTTACGAGGCACCGCCTTATTCTGTCATCAGAATAAGTAGCTTGTACTGTCACCAGTACAAGCTTCAGGGTGCCCCGTTACACTCAAGACTTTTGCAATCTCATCCGCTGCAATCTTCACTTCAGCAATGTCTAGAACCCGCTCCTCCTTTCTAATGAGTTCGAACTTGGTGTTTTCCGTGACTGGTCCACCCGACTTCAAAAGTCGTTGAGCAACTGACGTGGTCGTGTCCACTGCTGAGCCATACGGCTGCAGAAGTCTGTGTTGCTTAGGCATGATCTCGCTCCGGTGTGGCGGAGATCTCGATGTGGTAGCAACATTTGCTTCGTTTCCGTCGACCAACGCTTTAGCACGTCCTACGAACAAGGTGCCGCAAGAAGCTAGCACAAGGCAGAGCTCGCGCATAACGGGGTAAGGAAGGTCGCCAGTAGAGCGCTATGTGTGGGACGCAAGCGGCGATTCTTCGTAACTGTGGTCAACCAATCCTGTTTTTAATCCCGGATGACCTAGTCGCGTAAGTAGAACCAGGCGCCCAACTGGCTTGCACCGACTCACACACCCCATGCGCGTTTGTTCAGCCAAAGATCGAAATTTGCAGCGTGGACACTACACATTCACCTCTTATCCAATTGATTCAAGGACACGGACCTTTTACATGTTTGATAAGCTCAACAAGGTCCAGCTTTTTAGCACAAGGTTAATCAGCGCTCACCTCGGCGCTTTCCTAGCAGATTAACCACCGTGTCTTGTCCAGGGACCAGTTGTGCACCAAAGGGAATTCCTGTGAGCATATTTCAGCGTATGTTTCTTCCAGATGTAAAGCGCGCTATTCTTACTAGAGCGTTGCTTTCACTGACTTCAGTCTATGAAACGCATGAGCTTGCCCCATTCTCCACCTACTCAGCGTTGCGCCTTGCCTTGCTACATGCACCATACAAACCATCCCGATGAACAGGCGTTGAGGGTACCAACGGAAGAGCAGGAGATACCTTCTTGTCTGCACACCGCACTGCTTGTTGTGCATGTGAACAAGAGCTTAGCAGATTGCGGGTAGAATACCTTCATCATGTCAGCTTCTTTTTTGCCGTAACATGCAATTCCCTTTCAAAAGCCGACGTAATTTGCTACCATGGACTTGATGGGAACACACGACAACATCGAGCCTTGACATTGTAACGCCCACGGATACTCGACAGCGCCACATTATGCGAGCCTTTTTATGGCTACAGCCAGCAATTTAGATCTTGGTGATGATGGCACCGGTGCGTTTGTTTGATCAAACTAATGCGAAGCCTTGATTTTACGCAATTTGCCGCAACAGTAACTAACATTTCATTAGTCCTAGCTTCCTTCTGCTCCATATATGTATCGTTTTCATCTTCCTCGGCTCCGCGCGTCTCTAACAGCTGCTGGAGCTGTGCTGTATAAGCCCCTTCTAGTTCGTCGTCCTTGTCTCCTCACCTTCATTTTAGCATCTTCGTCGGCAACCAAAACCCCAACCTCATGCGCAAGGTAGCTTCGACTCGCACTTTCGATACTACGTTCGCGGAGCTTGATCATTACGCAGGCTCGGCGTTCTCCCAAAAGTGACACAAATTTGCGACCACGAATGCGATGGGTTCCAATACGAACAAACGAGCGTCGAGACGTCGCAAGCACCGCCTTCTTCATCCTCCTCTTCAGACTTCATTTCGTCGACATGACTGCAACTCGCGCACGCACTCGTGGTACAATGCAAACAGATTCACCACTCGGTCAGTTTTTAGCATACCTTTTCGACAAACTTGCCATGAAGACGGTCATAACCATCAGCAGAACTATCTTTACACACCGAGCACACATGGAAGCTGTTTAACTGACCACGTTTTCTTCTTGCAACTCACGCTCGTTTACCTTGTTCGATTTCAAGTTGCTGCACAACTTGTACTTGCCGAGCCGTCCTGCAAAGACTTCTAAGACGCTGCACAAGCCTCCTCTCTCGATCATGCGTTCACAATAACTCGCGTTGCACATGGGCGAGTGATGTAGACCACGTATGCGCCGCCAAAGACAAAAATGTTGACGATCCGTCGTATTAGCCGCAGCAGCAGCAGCTCCGATCGTTGCATGTGGCGATTCTGTGTCAGCGCTGGTGCAGCGCACTGCACAAGCCATTCACCAACTTCCGTACCATTTTTTCATCTTCTTCATCCTAGTCGGATTTCCCTTCTGATACGCAGCAAGTGCTTGCAGTAAGTCATCAGTGAGATTCATCTGACTGGTTCTGCCTTTACTCGTCATGGTCACTGTCTCTTCCTTTCGCCGTTCCTTTCTCGATCACGCTGCAAACTCCTCCCCCACATCGGTTCTTGGCTGCAGCAAAATGGACAATATCTCACTCGCTACAGCTTGTTCTCAATAATCCTTCTCGTCAGTGCCACTTGCTGCAACAGAAATGGCAGTACTGCCGTCTTCACACCACATCAGCACACACTTGGGGCTCGAGGTCGACTAGATTCTCCAGAATCTGCAGTGAATAGTACAAAACCGCCGTCTCTGTCTTCTGACCATCCTTCTCCACGTCATCAGCCATCGCTGCGAATTGATACAAATTGTTGACCAGCAACGGCAGCAGCTTCTCGTCCACAAGATGCTGGGCGAGCTCTCGGGCTGGCCCAGTGACTCAGCGTCGTCCGCATCCATCAGATTCTCCACTAGACTCTCACAATGCATGTATTGTCATGAGCAAGCATTCCCATCAGAACGCGAGGCACCTGCAGCATCATCATGACGCCAAAGAGCTCGGGTTTGGCAGCCACCTATTGCCAGCGCTTCAACTTGTGATCCAGCGCCAGATCCAACTCGAGGAATTGTTGAGTGGATCATCCACGTGCTTTCCACGGTCTATCGCATTGCACTGTTCTTGTTTTAGCAGCTAATTGACCATCGACTTGATCGATCGGGCGTTCAAGGCGTCGCCATCCTGTGCTTCGGCGCCATCAAATGCGTCACTGATTTTTGCAGCAATGGCTTCAGAGAGACACGCGCTTGTTTTACCACGTAAAGATGCGAGCGCAGAGGCAGCGGTCTGCTTGGCAGCAACGGGTGCGGTGAGCACTCCATATCATTGGCTCTCCATTGTAAGTAGTGGTCGATGAAACAAATGGGTGCATGGTCGAGTCACTCGTGGCGAATTGTGCAAGTCAAGCGAGACAATGTATTAGCTGTTGCTTGTGATTACGACACGCGATGGGATAAGTCATAGTTTTGACAGAGGAAAATAAAAGGCAAAGCGCATAAGGCAAAGAAAAGCGGGGGGATGCTGTGGTGAGCAGTGTATCAGCACTTTAGAAAAGAGCATGGCTGGATGTAGGAGGAAATGAACGCACTGGAGGCCAGTGCGGATGTCTTGCAGCTGCAGCATGACGTGTTCAGTTTGGTAGAAATCAAGTGGCTGCCTTGTTGCGGCTATAGTTTACGTTACAGTTATGCTTGCCGAACACAATTCATTGATGTCATCTTTTCTCTCGTGATAGGTAGCAAGTGCTGACCTCTGGATCAAGGCATATATCGGTGTCTGTCTGTGGGTTTTGAGGAGCTTGAGGGGTACCAAGAGAGCTGTTGGAAGAGGCAGATGACGGATAGGAGACGCCATTTTATGGCTCACGCAAATGTTTGAAACAATTAGATTCGTCAGAAGGTTGTGACTCGTTTCATTGACGTCGTGCTGCTTTTGTGACGATGACGCTTAAGATTACGATGATCATTGACGTTTTTTTTTGTTATGCTGTAGCTGTTACGGAGAAGAAAAAGCAGCTCTTTTGTAAACGCTGTTGAGGCTTTATTTACCTTGACGATGTGGCTGTGGAAAGTGGTCTTTGATGATAGAAGCGGCAGATACGAGTTGTGGTGACGCCGCTCGAATTGCTACGATGTGGATAAGTGAAAATGGACAACATGTGCTTCCTGAGCTTAATGCTTCAGGCGTTGGCGCACATTGGGATGTGTGCCAACAACGCCTGAAGTACTGACTTTTTCGTGATGAATGCCATGATACGGCAATCTGTCAACAACAGCGGCAACGGGTGCTGGAAAAGCGACAGCAGCATTGGACGCTACGAAGCACAAGCGATGCGATGACGACCATGCAAAAGAGCAGGAAGGCATGAAGTGCGGTATTGATTTTTTCTAGTTCTGTCCCTTAGATGTGAACGTGCTGATTTTGTGGCGCTGCTTGCACCTCCTGCTGTTCACGTACCACCTAGAGCGCTTAATGCGTCTCCAGTTGCATTACAAAGCATTTAGAAGCAATGCGTATTGTCTTTCTGTCGTCAATTGGCACAGCTCAACATGATGCACATGAACTCCTGGTCACACTTCTGGGAGGACTACATTCCTTACATATCCCCGTGTGTTCGCTCATAGTGGTGCCTCTCCGCAGGTCACGTTAAGAGGACATAGTTTGTGCGACTGCGCTGTGCACCAGCACTTCTCCGGTGTACTACGTTTTCAACTCGCGTGTGTAGGTTGCTGGTCTGCCTCGCACAATGTTGATTCGTTCTTGGATGTGCTTTTGTCTTTGATGGATGAATTGAGCACAATCGGTAAAAATGAAAATGGCGAGGGACAAGGAAAAGAAAAGCGTCGTATGGGCTATCATCTGCGATCAATCTCGAGTCGTTGTTGTTGCATATTATAGATGAAGAGAAATTACATGGAGCGCATTTAGTGTGCTGCCGTCGATCCTCAAAGTATTAAAACAACTACAAAAGCTTGAACTTGCACGTGCTACCAGATGTACTCGTTCTTCGCATCCGCCGTCTCGACTACTATCGCCAGCAGAAGCTTACGGGTTGAACTTCTGCCTGGCAGGCCTCAACATGAGACCGCGTACGTTGGTAGGCATCGACGAGGCCGATGTGCGCAACAGAAGGAACAGGAATAAGCCTTTTCTAGGTGGTGATCGAAACGAATATGTCTACGACCCTTGTCGAGGTCGTTAAAACTACCATAGATACTCAGTGAATGGAGGTCATTACACTGCTTACGAGCGCGAAGAAATCCCTGATAGTACGTCAAGCTTTACCGGCTTGAAGCGACATAAGTTGATACTCTTTGACGACCTTGGAAGTCAGGCTGCTACCTTTGCCAAAAGTCGGAAGATCCCAAGCGTATTTTGTTACGATGGTGATGAACGTGCACCCGCACATTGGTCATCACTCTGCCACTAATCTAACTGTGTTTGTGTGCTGTAAACTACTATGCTACGTCCATCGGTACCTGTTCGTCACTGTTGCTGTCGCTGCATGAGCGATTCAGCGAGGACGCTGCGGCTGTGTGGAAAAAGATCCTGATGCATCAGGACCTTCGCATGGATACAATGGCAATGCAGTCCTTCTGAATTTGTAACTTCGAAGAGTCAAGGGCGTGCGGATTGATAACGCAGGAAGTGGACGTCAATGGGCCAAAAGGGGAGGGAACGATGCGACATCTCATCAATTTACGTTGCTTCTCTTCGTGTACATTACTACTCGAGGCCCGGGATGTATTGGCCGTATCCCATGCGCTTGAGTATTGCTCACTCTATAAGACGGCGTGTGATCTGTGTTCATCATCAGACTTACAACACTTCGGTTGCAAACAAGTTTCGTTTCAAGTCATCACCCCCCCTTTCTACTGTATAAAGAAACGGGTTCATCAAAAGCAGAGTAGCCGGATCGATCGTGTGTCCACCGCAGAGGAATTTCAGTTTCAGGGATCGACTCTGTCCACTTACTGTGGGATCATAGTCTCAGATATTAGCAGCGTCTTTCTGAAATTGTCCATTGCAATCCCCTTCAAGCGCTGTCAATACGATCGTTACCAATAAAAGGTAACTGATTGGTTTTTCTTGTCTAGTTCCGCAGTCGCAATAAGGTCGTCATCAATAATGGAAGCTGTGACTACAATGAAGCGAATGAGACTATAAAATCGTTGGAGAAGCTATTGTGTACACGTGCCAACGGTAGCTTACTGACTAGAATCGCACAGCCGAGTGTTGCGTGTCATGGCATTGACATTGCTGGTAAACGTCATCGGAAGCTGGGGCCATTATAGCCGTGGACGTAGTCAAAAGGTCGATACCACCCGGTAGATTGTTGGCTCGGTCGTTATTGCTGGACTACTTTGTCCTGTGTAGAGCGCGTAAAACTTCTACCGAATTGTACCATCACGTCTATATATTTTATTTCTACTCGGCTATGACGGTTTTTGACTTCACAAGGCAAAGCACAAGAGCGAACTTTTGTCATCCCTTGTCGGAGCTTTCATGATGCGCTCCTCGCTCTGGTCATATTACGTCGACCTCAGCAAGTTGAATGCTATCAGACAAAAGTTGCCGTGGCTACCCACAAACTGAAAGGAGCTTGTCAGGCGACTTTTTAAATCATTAGTACGGTTTACGTCCTCTCAAATTGTGCAGCTCTGAGCATCTGTCCCAGCATTGGTATACCGGTACAACCGTGATAGACGACTTTTCGTCAAAGGCCAGTCAATTTAGAGTTGACTAAACCAAAATAACTAAGGGAATCGCAGATTACTTCAGGCCCAGCATCAGTCATTTCAAACCAATCCCGCACGTCCTCCACTCGTCACCAGCAGTATCTCGTCAACTATGACGACCACGTCATCGCCCTTTGTCTCCAGCCTGCGCACCTCTTTAGACGCAGCAGCAGCAACAACCGTAGCCACTCCTGCTTCCTCTGATAACAAGTCCGCCATGCTGTCCATGTTCTCCGGTCTGGAGTTGGCTCTAGACGGCAGCTGCGCTGTTGTATCAAGCAGCAAATCTGCCGCCAAAGATCTGCTGGCCTCCAAGAGTACCGAACGACAGGCAGAGGTCGAGTCAATAGCTGCACAGGCGCTCAAGAGACAGCAACAGAAGGAACGACAAAGGCTCGAGGAGAAGGAGCAGCCCGTCACAGCGTTATGTCAAGCTATGGCCTTTTTTGCTCAGGAAGTTGACGAGCACGAGTCATTTGTGTCGCGCTCGACGAGGCGGCGACACAAAAGTAGCAGTAAGAGGAACACGCGAGTCGGAGCAGAGACTCTTGGCGCTCCTCGTGGCCGTCGCCACCGACAGGTAAAGTACAGTCGGGTGTAGTAGGGCGCAGACTGAAACCTGTGATGCTTGAAAAAAAACTCCATTGCGTCATTCTCGCGACCGTCTCTTGTCATCTCTCTCCAATGGAATACCAGAGTGCTCCGAATACCGTTTCTATCCTCCACGAACAACGAGTCGCTCGTTCAGCAGACCAATCAATCAAATGGATCGCGAACTCCCGCCGCAGAAGCAGCGACAGCAGGTTCGTCCACCTCGCCCCTCCCCTTCTCTCCTTCTGTCTCTCTCTCTATCAGTCTCTCATTCTTATGGCACTCTCTTCATGTCGTTTCCAGCAGCGCAGTAGCAGCAGCCACAGAAGCACCTCTACCAGTCATCCTGCAGGGACTTCTCGGAATGCAATGCCAGGTCCCTCACGAGTGTTCCGGAGCTTACAGCAGCGACCTCATAGTCGTGCGACCGCTCCAGTATCTACCGCAGTAATGTCCAAGACGCCTTCCATGCTGGTGCGTGGAGCAGCAGGAGGGGGAAAGGGACCCCCTCCTCCTCCTTTTATGACCTCCTCATCGTCGAAAATCCTTTACGAACCTAACGTCCACCGTTTACGCGCTCGGTCGAGTGTTGCCAGACCTTTGGAACGAGACCATCGCATACAAGCGGAGAACTCCAGCCCCCGCGAGACGTCACCGTCTCCAACATTAGACCGACGCAGTAGTTCAAGAATTGGCTCGTTGAGTACGCCACGACGACTATATGAACCCGCTACAGTACAGCAGACCAAGATTTGTCCGCCGTCTTCTTGTGTGAAGCTCATTACTCCCCAGATGCAGTTTGCAACGAACTTGTCGACGCAATTAGGAACGTGCTTGGAACTGACAAACTTTACAGTGGTAGGTGTGCTCGGGTTCGATGGAGTGGGCAAATCCACAGTGCTGTCTCTTTTAGCTCGGGATGAAAAGATGCGGGAAAATCAATTTAAGACGCGAAGGTTAGAGTCGGTCGTCTCGCATTGCCATGAAACCATGTAACGGGGCACCCTGAAGCTTGTACTGGTGACAGTACAAGCTACTTATTCTGATAACAGAATAAGGCGGTGCCTCGTAACTTCACGTACACTCGTACGTGCAGAGGAAGACGGTAAGAAGAAGCGAGTACTCGGTTAGAGTAAAAAGTAGAACTGTATTTATAATAGTTAATGTCTGCAATAAATCACTATTTATCTTCATCTAACTATGTCTAAATACAAATGTGTAAATCAGTTATCTGCTCACCACTCATTGCGTGCGTCTGTCGTGGCGCGTCTTCGTTGGTTGATATAATGGCCTATATCAACCAATTAGGAACTACTTGGAAGTGCTACAGAATATTGTCCTTATGACAATATTCTGAGAATATAACTCTTATAGTTATATTCTATTAACAATTTCTTATAAATTGTTATGTAACGATTCACCCCGTTACATCACCCCCTTAACCATCAGTCACTTTAGTGACTGATTGACTAAATGGATACTCGTCCCAAATCATTTGGGACGGGGTTTGCACTTGTTGGTCCGCGTCCACTTTCCAACATCTCATCGCATGGTAAACAAGCCCATGCGATGCGCGAGCAAGGCCGCCGAGAGCGCGTCTGCACGTCTCTGTGCGGACGCCGAAGCAGAAACTACAGCAACTGATATCCCATCGGTTGCTGAATCGACTCAGCCTGTATCACCTGGTGATGCAGGCGCTGGTCATGAAGACACTCGTGTCTTCACAGAGTACGAGCTCGGTGTCTCGTACTCTCCTGATACGGATGACGGATCCGTATCGACGGCAATTGAATCCAAGCCGCCTGCCAGGCGTGGCATGGACGATGCTTTGCGTCGCAGCATCTTTGGTTCATCCGATGAGTCAGATGAACCATCGCCGAAGCGAAGGCGCTCGAGGTCGCGAGACTCGGGCGCTAATAGTGGTGTCGTTTCTCCAATGGACACCACTTCACAGCGAGGTGCCAGTACTTCTGTCGGCACGTCGCAGCAAGAGCGGGACCGCAATGTGTTGCGTCTCGCTCCAGAAAAGAAGGCATGGATGCCTCCAAAATCTGTCATGGATCACTTGTCGGCGACGACGAGTGATCGTTATCGAACACGATTGTTCGATTCGTCAAGGATCCATCACCTTGACCCCAGCGCGAAAGACTATCGCGCTGAACATGAGTTCTTCATCGATGCTTTCTTCAGACATCGATGGTACAGTGGGAATCACAAACGTGATGGTCCCTCACTACTTCAGGCGTGGAACGCCTACATCCATAACCTCGAGGATGTAGGTCGTGACGCTTGGAACGACAAACTTATCAAAGCTCGTGATAAGTTTGAAAAGCGAACCCCGACAGGTGCACGCTACAAGCTGCATCGTCTGTCTAGGGAGAAAGGATTACCCTGCCTCTCTTGGGGAGACTCGTGCCCATGTTGTGTGAACAACTCTGCACGAGCACCTAAGGAGGCTTACCTCCTTACCAGCCCGTGGTGGCGCGTACGTGTCTCTACTGAGATGTACGAAGGGATTGACAACCTGAAATCCCTTTACGACCGTGCCGGGAAGACTTTCTCCGGCGGTCCTTCTGCGGCACAGGATGTGCCGCGTCGTACTGCTCGACCAGACCCAGTACGTCAACCATTAATTGGGAGCGGGGCTCCCAAGAATCCCAGGACGGGGGATAGCCGCGCCACCGGACGAGGTAACTCGTCCGACGTCCGTTCACGTCGCGGTGGTTCAACAGCTGCTCAACTAGATAGCGCTGGCCACCGCGAGAGTCCTCTAATGGAGGTGGAGGAGGAGGAAAGACGCTCTCCACACGATCATGTGGATCGGTGTGTTCCCGAGAGCTTCTTTGATCGCGTAACGCAAGGGTTACGCGACGATCTCGAGCATGAGCGGAATAGGCGTCTCCAGATGGTGGACACTGCCTCGAAGCATCGAGCTGAGTTTGCCTTTGCTCAGCTTGAGAACGAGAGATCTCTGACATCTCTTCGTGACGAGCTAAGGGTAGCTCGTGGGATTGTTGATCGGTCTCGGGCTGAGATAACTGCTCTTCAGACCCTTGTTGATGCCCACCATCGGGAGCACAAGGCTCTCTGCGAGATGCTTGAGCGCAAGGGCGTTCTTCATCGGAAGAATCAGCGTACTGATGGTACGGCTTAAGCCGACCAACGTAAAACGTGGGATGCGTTCGCATCTTACGTGGTAACTCGATCGTGTATGCATTGCCTAGGCGGTGCAATACACGAAATGGGCCAATGTACTTGGGTAGTAGTTTACTGCTACCCAAGTTAGTCACTACATGTTTTGGTAGATTAACCGTAGACAGTAGGACTAAGTCACCTTTATTAAATAAAAGAGTGTTTGCCCTTCCATTCTTGTCAGCGTTTTGCTTTTGCTTATCCACCGCTTCGGCGATGGAGTCTTGCACAAAACGGACTACCGTTTCACGAGCCAGTATGAACTCATCTGATGACTCGTTAGCTTCAGTGTGCTGTGAGCGCACTGCAGCAACAACAACCTTTTCTTCAGTGAGGGCTTCCGCACTCTCACTGGCATCATTGTCTTCAGTGAGGGCTTCCGCACTCTCACTGGCATCATCTTCTTCGATATCGATGTTATCGATATCGGCATCAAACGCAATGACTTCTTCGTCAGAGCGTGATGAGCGTGAACCAAATCGGTTTTTGCTCGCGCGAGTCCCTCCCCCCTTAAACCAGAGTTACACTCTAGTAAGGTGGGTACACGCGGATGGCGCAAGCCATTCACGTAAAACGGTGTATGTGTCGTGGACGCATGCACCGAGTTGTTGATGGCAAACTCTACCATCGGCAAAAACTCACTCCAACTCTTAAAGGAGTGTACGTATCCTCGAAGTATCTCTTCAAGGACACGATTGGCACGTTCCGTCTGACCATCTGACTCTGGATGATCAGATGTTGACATCTTCAAGCGCGTTCCGAGTGATTTGAACACGGAACGCCAGAAATCAGCAGTGAATCGTGGATCTCTGTCTGATACGAGTTCACGGGGCAACCCATGAAGTCGGAAGATGGTGTCAATAAAGACACAAGCACAGCCACTTGCCGTGATTGTCTCTGGTACAGCCACAAGGTGTACCATTTTGCTGAATCTGTCAACAAATACGAGAATACCCGTATTCCCGCGTGCGTCTTTGGGTAACCCGAAGACGAAATCCATTGAGATGGATTCCCAGCACTCAGCCGGAACCGGTAGAGGCTGTAAAGGGGCACGCAGTGAAGGACTTGACTTCACTCGTTGGCAGACTTCGCATGCGCGAACATACTTTCGCACAAACTGATACTGGCGGGGCCAGTAAAAGTCTCGACTTACCGTGAGATATGTTTTCTCTCGGCCACGATGTCCTCCTATAGGAGCATCGTGATACTCGAACATGATCCGCAAACGCAGATCAGTATCATCTGGAATGACAACACGTGGTGTGTCACCAGAAACGGCTGTATAATACAGTAAACCGTTACGAGTAGTGTATCGATCTGATGCAGATCGATACGCAGGCGACAATCGTTTCAACGATTCTCGGGATGGTTGGGAGAGATGTGACAACAACTTCACTATCTCACCATCTTGGGCGTATGCCCGCCTCACATCATCATACAACATTGTAGATGGGACTGAGGACGTCATAACCGCAACAGTGACTGTCTCGCTGTTGGGTTTCGCGACTGTTTCAAAGTCGGGACGACGTGAGAGTGCATCAGCGACGACATTAAGTCGTCCTGGTTTGTACTCGACCGTAAAGTTGTATTCTGCAAAGAATGACAACCACCGCGCCATTCGTTGTGAAAGGTGCGGGCTGTTCACTGCCGTGCGTAAGGACGCATGGTCAGTGTAAACAACGAAGGGTCTATCTCCTAATAGATAGACTCTGAACTTCGCGAGTGCATACTTCATGGCAAGGAGTTCCTTGTCATGCACTGGATAGTTCCGCTCAGCTGGTTGCAGCTGACGCGACTGATAGCAGACGACGCGTTCAACGCCTTCAAGGGCGTACTGCATTAATGCACAGCCGATTGCGAAATCGCTGGCATCACAGACCACATGAAATGGCCTGTCCTGATCGGCTATTGCTAGGACTGGGGATTGTATCAAGCTCTGCTTGATACCCTCAAAGGAGCGTTGACATTCAGCGTTCCATAACCACCTCTCGTTCTTTTTCAACAAACGAGAGAGGTGCACAGTCATCTCGGCGTAATTGCGTGAATACTTATGCAAATACGCCGCTAGCCCAAGGAATTTTCGAAGACCTTTGACATCGACTGGCACAGGCCAGTCGGTGATCGCCTTGATCTTTTCGGGATCAGGACGTACACCGTTCTTACCAACGATGCACCCAAGAAGTGGTATTTCGCTTGCTGCAAATATACACTTCTTGAGGTTTGCATACAATTGATGCTTTCGCATGATTGTAAGAACTTGTCGGACGTGGTACCTGTGAACCTCAACGTCCGACTTTCCATCCATAGCTCGACTATGGATGAATACGTCATCGAAATAACTCGGCGCGAACTCTCGTACTGGTCTCAACAGATGTGATACACATCTGTTGAACGTGGCAGGGGCATTACTGAGCCCTTGTGGCATTACTAGCCATTCCCAGAGCATGCCGCTAGGCGTGCTAACTGCGGTATAGGGTATATCCCGTTCCCGCATTAGGATTTGATAGAAGCCATCCATCAAATCCATGGACGAAAAGATGGTACTCTTTGACATACCATCAATGATTACGTCCTTCCTCGGTATCGGCGTCTGAGCCGGTACCGTTGCAGCGTTCAATTTGTTGAACGCGTGCACTATCCGCCACCCTCCTGTTGCTTTTCGCACACAGAAGGTCGGAGAGCTATGTGGGGAAGTTGATTCCCTCACATGGCCCGCTGCTAAACGATCGGCAAAGAACTTGTCGATCGCAAGTACTTGTTCACGAGGCAGTGGCCACTGCTTCATGACACAGTACTTCGAGCCTGGTTTAAGCTCGACTTCGTGTCGAATACCTTTATCCTTCGGTAATTCGCACGGAACAGTTTCAGGGAATACATCCTTGAATTCAACCAAATCCTCATAGAGAGGGTTTTCCTTGAGCGATTCCCATGATTGGGAGTCATATCGCTCAATTCGTGTCTTTTCATCTAGGACACTCTCGTCCATAGATGAACTACTGAGAACTCTCTCGTTCTCAGTAAACACTGTTGCTGACCTTATGTCGGTTACATACTCGTCGTCAGCGACGAGTATGCAGATCTGCTTGACTTTGCCACTACGCAGATCACGCAAGAACCTTTTATGTTCGAGCGTTGGCAACTGAGTGATCTCCGAAGTTAACTTCGGAGGCGCAATCAGATCAAGTGTATAAGCGCCTACACATGATCCGTTATTGACTATGACATTCAATGTCTCTGTCATTTCCTGGGGACTTATTCCCTCAGGCTTCGAAGGACTTATTCCTTCGTCTTCCCGGGGACTTATTCCCGCGGGTTTCGGGGAACTTATTTCCGCCGTATTTGTAATCTTGGGACTTATTCCCTTTACTTCCTCTAGCTGGGGTTGCGCAACCACAGCGAGATCCTCTACGAAAGACTCTCCAGTCGATCTAGGATTATCGTTTCGCTTAACCTGAGCGATCGATTGTTTCTCTTCTAGATGTTCCCCGCTAGGGATACATCTTTGTCCCAGTCCACCCGACTTATTCGAGTGGTGGACCTTCGGCGCAGCCTGTGTTTCCTCACAGCCGCCGGAACTTTGCTCCGAAGTGTAACCGTTTGGTACACTAAGGTTTTGTGCAGTCGTACTAACGACCGTACCACAAGTGAGGCCATCGCACTCACTCGTAGTACATCCACACGCTTGTGGACGCTCCAAAACGTTCATCAGATGGCCATCTGATGAACAAGCGGCAGGCATCGTTACTGTCCGATGTTGCCAGTTTACCCGTGGTTCGTACCTTCTGAGCCACGGTATTCCAAGGATGACATCAAATTTGTCATCCAAATCCAATACGATAAAGTCATCGTCGTATTGGGTATCTTCTAGCGTATAGTGAATCTTCACTATACGCTTCATGACGGTTACGGATGCGCCTGTCGCAAGACGTACCGTCATCCTCGTAGGAGGTGTGTCACATTCACTGAATTTAAAGTGACCATCTTCTAGCGATTGGCGTCGCACAAAATTGTTGGACGCCCCACAATCGACTAGAGCTCGAAGGGACAACTTATTCGTCACTTCGAGTTTCAAGGTAATGAGTGAGATCTCATTACCTAGAGCAGCAACGCACAACGTCTGTGTGTTGGGAGCAACCTTCATCAAGAGGCCTACAAATTCTCTTGACGTTGCTGGATCAGTAGGGTGCTCCGCACCTACTGATCCTGTCCGTTTTTTGACGGTCCATCCCGTTGTTGCGTCTTTGCACCAACTGCGGACCCTCGTCCCTGCCCCTTTCTCATGGGTGGACGGTCACTACGCCCAGTGTCGCGAGACACTGGACGAGGGGCACTACACTCGTAAGCGTAGTGTCCTGTCTTCTGACATCTGTTGCATCTCTGCAACTTCTTGTAGCCTGTAGAGCGAACCTTCTCGCTCTCTACATAACAGAGTTCCATCGGCTCTGGACCTCCGCTGTCATATCGCCTCGGTTGACGATATGATGTCGAGCTGGCGCGAGCCTGTCTCAGACTGAAGTCTTCCTGCTCCGCAATGGAAATGGCTTGTTCTAGTGAATCTAGTTCAAGCCGGAACAGGTGAGTCTTGACGGGACCATCCGCAAGACCCTGCATGAACACCGAAACCAACGTGTGTTCATCCACTGGATTGGAACTTATACAACTCGTAAGATGTCGTATATGTTGAGCGTAAGCGTGCGCATCACGCTTACCCTGCTTGAGCTTCAAGAGTTCGGTTCGAGCCCTGAACTCAGCCCTAGGCGGTTCAAACGTTTGTCTGAGCCGCGACTTGAAGACTTCCAACGACCCAAACGCATATGGGTCGTGCAGCTTGAGCCCCAGTGCCCAAGTCTTGGCACGTCCTGCCAGATTTGATTGGGCAAATGCAACTTGCATATCCCCGTCGTCGATGCGACGCGCCCTTATGGCGTCATCCAATTCGACGAACCATCTCAAGAGGGAGTCTTCTTCGACCCCTCTATACTTTGAGATGTCAATCTTCAAAGTCTCGGGTCGACGCGAGTGCATCGACCCGCCAGCAGCAGCCTGCTGCTGTCTCAACAGTTCAAACTGTTGAGCACCTTGTTCTCTCAACAACTCTGCTTGTTGAGAACCTTGTTGGTGAAGCAAGGCTACTTTCTCGCGTTCTGCGTCAAGTTCATTTTGAATGAACTTGGCGATAGTAGCATGTTGGGCATCTCTATTGAGAGCCTCTAGCATGACGCTAACAGCATGGATGCCCATGGTCGAACCCATTCGTTCAACCGCATCCCATTCGACATCGCTCAAATGGGAGTAGCCGTCACGCGTAGCGTGAAAGCTTTGGTCATCTTCATCATCCAACATATTCATGTTGGATGTGAACGCGGTCCTTGGACGGACTACGAAGTGCTACCAGGTGTAACGGGGCACCCTGAAGCTTGTACTGGTGACAGTACAAGCTACTTATTCTGATAACAGAATAAGGCGGTGCCTCGTAACTTCACGTACACTCGTACGTGCAGAGGAAGACGGTAAGAAGAAGCGAGTACTCGGTTAGAGTAAAAAGTAGAACTGTATTTATAATAGTTAATGTCTGCAATAAATCACTATTTATCTTCATCTAACTATGTCTAAATACAAATGTGTAAATCAGTTATCTGCTCACCACTCATTGCGTGCGTCTGTCGTGGCGCGTCTTCGTTGGTTGATATAATGGCCTATATCAACCAATTAGGAACTACTTGGAAGTGCTACAGAATATTGTCCTTATGACAATATTCTGAGAATATAACTCTTATAGTTATATTCTATTAACAATTTCTTATAAATTGTTATGTAACGATTCACCCCGTTACAAACCACGGGAGTCGATCTAGCTGTCTCCATGGTCGGGGGGTCCGGCCATCCGACGATTTTGTTGGATACGCAGCCTCTACTGAGTAGCTCAATGCTTGTCGACTTGCTCGAGAGCAAGGAGTCACATCGAGTTGGCGCGATGACGCCGGAACAACAAGTAGAAGCTGCATCGTACCAGATTGCTGTGTTTCTCTGTGCAATCTGCCACTACGTGCTGGTTGTTCATGACGGATTGGCTTTCCAAGTCTCTGTGTATGAACTGCTTTGCAAGGTTAAGCAGAAGTTCTCGCAATGTCGACTGCCGAGTGTATCCGGCAACAGCCAGAGTGTAACGGGGCACCCTGAAGCTTGTACTGGTGACAGTACAAGCTACTTATTCTGATGACAGAATAAGGCGGTGCCTCGTAACTTCACGTACACTCGTACGTGCAGAGGAAGACGGTAAGAAGAAGCGAGTACTTGGTTAAAGTAAAAAGTAGAACTGTATTTATAATAGTTAATGTCTGCAATAAATCACTATTTATCTTCATCTAACTATGTCTAAATACAAATGTGTAAATCAGTTATCTGCTCACCACTCATTGCGTGCGTCTGTCGTGGCGCGTCTTCGTTGGTTGATATAATGGCCTATATCAACCAATTAGGAACTACTTGGAAGTGCTACAGAATATTGTCCTTATGACAATATTCTGAGAATGTAACTCTTATAGTTATATTCTATTAACAATTTCTTATAAATTGTTATGTAACGATTCACCCCGTTACATCACCCCCCTTAACCATCAGTCACTTTAGTGACTGATTGGCTAAATGGATACTCGTCCCAAATCATTTGGGACGGGGTTTGCACTTGTTGGTCCGCGTCCACTTTCCAACATCTCATCGCATGGTAAACAAGCCCATGCGATGCGCGAGCAAGGCCGCCGAGAGCGCGTCTGCACGTCTCTGTGCGGACGCCGAAGCAGAAACTACAGCAACTGATGTCCCATCGGTTGCTGAATCGACTCAGCCTGTATCACCTGGTGATGCAGGCGCTGGTCATGAAGACACTCGTGTCTTCACAGAGTACGAGCTCGGTGTCTCGTACTCTCCTGATACGGATGACGGATCCGTATCGACGGCAATTGAATCCAAGCCGCCTGCCAAGCGTGGCATGGACGATGCTTTGCGTCGCAGCATCTTTGGTTCATCTGACTCATCAGATGAACCATCGCCGAAGCGAAGGCGCTCGAGGTCGCGAGACTCGGGCGCTAATAGTGGTGTCGTTTCTCCAATGGACACCACTTCACAGCGAGGTGCCAGTACTTCTGTCGGCACGTCGCAGGAAGAGCGGGACCGCAATGTGTTGCGTCTCGCTCCAGAAAAGAAGGCATGGATGCCTCCAAAATCTGTCATGGATCACTTGTCGGCGACGACGAGCGATCGTTATCGAACACGATTGTTCGATTCGTCGAGGATTCATCACCTTGACCCCAGCGCGAAAGACTATCGCGCTGAACATGAGTTCTTCATCGATGCTTTCTTCAGACATCGATGGTACAGTGGGAATCACAAGCGTGATGGTCCCTCACTACTTCAGGCGTGGAACGCCTACATCCATAATCTCGAGGATGTAGGTCGTGACGCTTGGAACGACAAACTTATCAAAGCTCGTGATAAGTTTGAAAAGCGAACCCCGACAGGTGCACGCTATAAGCTGCATCGTCTGTCAAGGGAGAAAGGATTACCCTGCCTCTCTTGGGGAGACTCGTGCCCATGTTGTGTGAACAACTCTGCACGAGCACCTAAGGAGGCTTACCTCCTTACTAGCCCGTGGTGGCGCGTACGTGTCTCTACTGAGATGTACGAAGGGATTGACAACCTGAAATCCCTTTACGACCGTGCCGGGAAGACTTTCTCCGGCGGTCCTTCTGCGGCACAGGATGTGTCGCGTCGTACTGCTCGACCAGACCCAGTACGTCAACCATCAATTGGGAGCGGGGCTCCCAAGAATCCCAGGACGGGGGATAGCCGCGCCACCGGACGAGGTAACTCGTCCGACGTCCGTTCACGTCGCGGTGGTTCAACAGCTGCTCTACTAGATAGCGCTGGCCACCGCGAGAGTCCTCTAATGGAGGTGGAGGAGGAGGGAAAACGCTCTTTAAACTATCGTGGGGATCCATGTGTTCCCGAGAGCTTCTTTGATCGCGTAACGCAAGGGTTACGCGACGATCTCGAGCATGAGCGGAATAGGCGTCTCCAGATGGTGGACACTGCCTCGAAGCATCGAGCTGAGTTTGCCTTTGCTCAGCTTGAGAACGAGAGAGCTTTGACATCTCTTCGTGACGAGCTAAGGGTAGCTCGTGGGATTGTTGATCGGTCTCGGGCTGAGATAACTGCTCTTCATACCCTTGTTGATGCCCACCATCGGGAGCACAAGGCTCTCTGCGAGATGCTTGAGCGCAAGGGCGTTCTTCATCGGAAGAAGCAGCGTACTGATGGTACGGCTTAAGCCGACCAACGTAAAACGTGGGATGCGTTCGCATCTTACGTGGTAACTCGATCGTGTATGCATTGCCTAGGCGGTGCAATACACGAAATGGGCCAATGTACTTGGGTAGTAGTTTACTGCTACCCAAGTTAGTCACTACATGTTTTGGTAGATTAACCGTAGACAGTAGGACTAAGTCACCTTTATTAAATAAAAGAGTGTTTGCCCTTCCATTCTTGTCAGCGTTTTGCTTTTGCTTATCCACCGCTTCGGCGATGGAGTCTTGCACAAAACGGACTACCGTTTCACGAGCCAGTATGAACTCATCTGATGACTCGTTAGCTTCAGTGTGCTGTGAGCGCACTGCAGCGACAACAACCTTTTCTTCAGTGAGGGCTTCCGCACTCTCACTGGGATCATTGTCTTCAGTGAGGGCTTCCGCACTCTCACTGGCATCATCTTCTTCGATATCGATGTTATCGATATCGGCATCAAACGCAATGACTTCTTCGTCAGAGCGTGATGAGCGTGAACCAAATCGGTTTTTGCTCGCGCGAGTCCCTCCCCCCCTTAAACCAGAGTTACACTCTAGTAAGGTGGGTACACGCGGATGGCGCAAGCCATTCACGTAAAACGGTGTATGTGTCGTCGACGCATGCACCGAGTTGTTGATGGCAAACTCTACCATTGGCAAAAACTCACTCCAACTCTTAAAGGAGTGTACGTATCCTCGAAGTATCTCTTCAAGGACACGATTGGCACGTTCCGTCTGACCATCTGACTCTGGATGATCAGATGTTGACATCTTCAAGCGCGTTCCGAGTGATTTGAACACGGAACGCCAGAAATCAGCAGTGAATCGTGGATCTCTGTCTGATACGAGTTCACGGGGCAACCCATGAAGTCGGAAGATGGTGTCAATAAAGACACAAGCACAGCCACTTGCCGTGATTGTCTCTGGTACAGCCACAAGGTGTACCATTTTGCTGAGTCTGTCAATAAATACGAGAATACCCGTATTCCCGCGTGCGTCTTTGGGTAACCCGAAGACGAAATCCATTGAGATGGATTCCCAGCACTCAGCCGGAACCGGTAGAGGCTGTAAAGGTGCACGCAGTGAAGGACTTGACTTCACTCGTTGGCAGACTTCGCATGCGCGAACATACTTTCGCACAAACTGATACTGGCGGGGCCAGTAAAAGTCTCGACTTACCGTGAGATATGTTTTCTCTCGGCCACGATGTCCTCCTATAGGAGCATCGTGATACTCGAACATGATCCGCAAACGCAGATCAATATCATCTGGAATGACAACACGTGGTGTGTCACCAGAAACGGCTGTATAGTACAGTAAACCGTTACGAGTAGTGTATCGATCTGATGCAGATCGATACGCAGACGACAATCGTTTCAACGATTCTCGAGATGGTTGGGAGAGATGTGACAACAACTTCACTATCTCACCATCTTGGGCGTATGCCCGCCTCACATCATCATACAACGTTGTAGATGGAACTGAGGACGTCATAACCGCAACAGTGACTGTCTCACTGTTGGGTTTCGCGACTGTTTCAAAGTCGGGACGACGTGAGAGTGCATCAGCGACGACATTAAGTCGTCCTGGTTTGTACTCGACCGTAAAGTTGTATTCTGCAAAGAATGACAACCACCGCGCCATTCGTTGTGAAAGGTGCGGGCTGTTCACTGCCGTGCGTAAGGACGCATGGTCAGTGTAAACAACGAAGGGTCTATCTCCTAATAGATAGACTCTGAACTTCGCGAGTGCATACTTCATGGCAAGGAGTTCCTTGTCATGCACTGGATAGTTCCGCTCAGCTGGTTGCAGCTGACGCGACTGATAGCAGACGACGCGTTCAACGCCTTCAAGATCGTACTGCATTAATGCACAGCCGATTGCGAAATCGCTGGCATCACAGACCACATGAAATGGCCTGTCCTGATCGGCTATGGCTAGGACTGGGGATTGTATCAAGCTCTGCTTGATACCCTCAAAGGAGCGTTGACATTCAGCGTTCCATAACCACCTCTCGTTCTTTTTCAACAAACGAGAGAGGTGTACAGTCATCTCGGCGTAATTGCGTGAATACTTATGCAAATACGCCGCTAGTCCAAGGAATTTTCGAAGACCTTTGACATAAACCGGCACGGGCCAGTCGGTGATCGCCTTGATCTTTTCGGGATCAGGACGTACACCGTTCTTACCAACGATGCACCCAAGAAGTGGTATTTCGCTTGCTGCAAATATACACTTCTTGAGGTTTGCATACAATTGATGCTTTCGCATGATTGTAAGAACTTGTCGGACGTGGTACCTGTGAACCTCAACGTCCGACTTTCCATCCATAGCTCGACTATGGATGAATACGTCATCGAAATAACTCGGCGCGAATTCTCGTACTGGCCTCAACAGATGTGATACACACCTGTTGAACGTGGCAGGGGCATTACTGAGCCCTTGTGGCATTACTAGCCATTCCCAGAGCATGCCGCTAGGCGTGCTAACTGCTGTATAGGGTATATCCCGTTCCCGCATTAGGATTTGATAGAAGCCATCCATCAAATCCATGGACGAAAAGATGGTACTCTTTGACATACCATCAATGATTACGTCCTTCCTCGGTATCGGCGTCTGAGCCGGTACCATTGCAGCATTCAACTTGTTAAATGCATGCACTATCCGCCACCCTCCTGTTGCTTTTCGCACACAGAAGGTCGGAGAGCTATGTGGGGAAGTTGATTCCCTCACATGGCCCGCAGCTAAACGATCGGCAAAGAACTTGTCGATCGCAAGTACTTGTTCACGAGGCAGTGGCCACTGCTTCATGACACAGTACTTCGAGCCTGGTTTAAGCTCGACTTCGTGTCGAATACCTTTATCCTTCGGTAATTCG